AGAAGAGAAGCTAGAAGTCTGGTGTGGAAATTAAGCAGAGATAAAGAGTGGTTGTGGCATCAAAAGTCCAAAATGCTTTGGGCTCAAAATGGTAATAAAAAGACTAAGTTTTTCCATACTATGGCTAGCAAGAGACAGAGAAAGAACATGTTAGATTCAGTATGTGTGGAAGGGGTGTGCTTCGAGGACCTTGCTCAGATTAAACAAGCTTTGGTTAGGCATTTTAGGTAGTAGTTTTCGGAGAATTAGACTATGAGGCCAAAGATTTCAAGCCCTTTTGAGGTTATTAGCTCAGAGGCAGCAGCCAATTTGGAAGCAGTGTTCTCTGAAGATGAGATTTGGTGTAACAACCCTCATACTGATTACTGATTAATGACTGATTGATCACCAGTTACTGTTAAACGGAACTGATAATGACCGATAATTGAACTGATTAAAAGTACTGAACTGACTGACTGAAACTGGAACTGAATTGACTGAGTATATGTTAGTTAATTTGTTTTACTGTATTACTGTTAAGCAGGCCTTCGGTAATCTCAGATTACTGGCCGGTTACGGTGCTAAACCCATAGGGCCGGGTTTGGGTCGTGACATTTGGGCAGCTCTAAAAGATTGCGATGGGAACAAGGCCCCTGGACCAGATGGCTTTAATCTTGCATTCATCCAAAAGTGTTGGCTTGTTATGAAAAGTGAGAAAATTCAAATAATTCATGAATTTCACACAAATGCTAAACTATCAAGTGGGGTTAATAGTTCCTTCACTGTGCTTATACCTAAAAAGGATAATCCTTCAAGATTGGGAGACTATAGGCCGATTAGCTTGGTCAGCTCCATCTATAAGATCTTGGCCAAGGTGTTGTCCAAAAGAATGAAGCAGGTGCTCCCAGCTGTGATTAGTGAGGTGCAGTCAGCATTTGTTAGTGGTAGACACATTCTAGATGGTGTGTTGATAGCTAATGAAGTTATAGATGGGTGGCATAGAGCTAGGAAGAAAAGCATCATCCTGAAGTTGGATTTTGAGAAAGCCTATGACTCATTAAACTGGGAATTTTTGCTATCGATGTTGGGTAATTTTGGTTTTGGTGCAAGGTGGATTAAATGGATGAAAACTTGCATTACAATAGCTATGGTGTCTATTTTAGTCAATGGTGCACACACTAAGGAGTTTCAACCATAGAAGGGGTTAAGGTAAGGTGACCCTCTATCTCCATTTTTGTTCATTGTTGCAGCTGAATGTCTTAATCTCTTATTGGAAAGGGCACTAGAGAAAGGCCTAATTAAGGGTGCTTCAGTTGGCTCTGATCGGTTGAGTATTTCACATCTTCAATTTGCAAATGATAATTTCATTTTTTGTGAAGGTGGCATGGAAGAAGTGTTGAACATTAAGAGGGTATTGAGGTGCTTTGAGGTGATATCCGGTTTAAGAATAAATTCCCACAAAAGTGTGGTATGTGGGGCGTGCTATCAAGAAGACCAAACTAAGGAATTTGCTAAGGTGTTGAATTGTCTGCCTAAGAAATTGCTTTTTAATTTTTTAGGATTGCCTTTAGGGGGCGAATCCCAGAAGAAAGAGGACATGGTCTCCAGTGGTGGAGAAGTTTCAGAAGAAGCTCTCTTCTTGGAAGAGGAAATTGTTGTCTTTTGCTAGTAGGTTGACTCTGATCAAATCTGCCTTGTCCAATTTGCCTATCTATTTTTTTTCCATCTTTAAAATGCCAAAGGAGGTTGTCAAGTCTATATCTAAACTTCAGGCCAACTTTCTGTGGGGAGGTTCTGCTACCAACACGAAAGTGTACATGGTCAAATGGAAGGAGGTCACAAACAACAAGAATCAAGGAGGTTTGGAAGTGAGGGACTTAGGTGAGGTGAATGAATGCTCGCTGCTGAAGTGGTGGTGGAGGTATGGCAATGATGATATAGCTCTGTGGAAAACTATGATCTGCTCTAGGTATGGCAGAATTGGTGGGGGATGGACACCTACAATGAATCAGTTAGTAGGGGTCTCAATAGTTTGGAAGGATATTTCACAGCTATCTGTGTCTAATCAACAGTTGGGTGAATTTTTTGGAGACCAAGTCAAAAACATAGTAGGCAATGGGAGGAGAATAAAGTTCTGGTATGATTCCTGGTTAGGTAACAGAGGTTTGAAGGCTGAATTTCCTAGATTGTTTAGTTTATCCACAGAGAATGAGGATTCTCTGCAGCAGATCAAAGCATAGATTGGTGCCTCAGAAGGATGACAACTTCAATTCAAAAAGAATCTATTAGCTTGGGAAGAAGAGGATTTGCAAAGGCTATTAGGCATGTTGGACTTATTTTCTTGCCTCAGATTTGGTGTTGAGGACTATTGTTCTCGGTTAGCAGAGAGGTCAGGGCAGTTCACAATAGCTTCTGTGTGGAGGTGGTGGGCTGCAGCTAGTGGGCCTGGTCTGTCAGTCCCAACGGGGGTGTGGATGAGTTTTGCCCCTCCAAAAATGCAGTTTTTTTGTTGGTTGGCTTGGCGAGGCAGGGTTAAAACCTCATCCTTTCTTCAAAGAATTGGGGCTCTTAAAGTCAGTGCTAATACTCTGTGTGTTTTCTGCCAAGCTGAGGTGGAAACTGTTGCTCATGTGCTTTTGCTTTGTCCTCTGGTGTGGAAGTGCTGGTCTCACATGGTAGATTGGTGGGAACAGGTTTGGGCTATTCCAGGTTCTGTAGAATGTTTGCTGCATTGGTAGAATGGTGGCAGGTTCAAACTTAAGTCTTGGGCTCTCAAAGTCTGGCAGATTATTTCCTCTGTTGTCTTATGGTCAATCTAGAAATTGAGGAATCAATGTTTGTTTAGGGGTGCTCATCCTGACCTCCAAGAATTTTGTGAAAAAATAAAGGTGCAGATTGCTTTATGGACCAAATGGCACTTAAAGGTGGATTATTTAATTCAAGACATCATATCCAATCTCCACCAGATCAGGTTGTAGTGAGGTTTGAGTTATGCAAAGGTTTGCTGATCAAAAAACTGCTATAGTTGGCTGGGTTCTCTGAGTATTGCTTCTACTGGAATTGGTTTGATGGGCTTAGAAACATCTCATTGGCAGCAGGTATGAGCGTAAGGTTGAGGTAGTTTTGCTGGTGATTTTGCTAGTTGGTTCTGTGATGTTGGTTCTGTTATGTTGCTACTGAGATGCTGAAATGCTACTATGTTTGTCCAACTTACAACAGATCAGGTATTCATTAATGGTTTTTGTCACAAAGTGTAATTTTGGGCAGCTGGGTTTTGTCACAAAGTGTAATTTTGTGTTGCTCATCTGATAGAGGGGGCAGTTGGCAGTTCATGTGGTTTGTTTCTGCAGGAATTTGCTGGTGCATTAGCTATGAGTTGCTGGAGCAGATTGCCGTATGGTTGGTTGGTTTTATTTTTGTGTTTGGTTTTATTTCTCTTTTTTGGATTGGTTTCTCGCCAATTTGTGGGTTGTGTGCTAGTAGATAATTGTGCTGCCTCTTTGATGTCAACTTAGTTAGAATTGTGGAGTGTTAGCTATGATGTTTTTTGCACCTCCCTCATTTATTGATGTATTTTGTTCTTGTTTTGATCATTCCATCAATCAAGTTTTCCTTTTCTTTGCTCATAAATATAAATAAATAAATAAATAAATCACTAATGCTAATGAGTGGCAACATATATCATTAAAAATATATATGGAAAAAAGAAGTAATAGTATATATTTTTGAAGTCAATTTGAATTTGAATTTTTTTATTTTTAAATTTAAAATAAAAAAAAATGTTGATTTGATTTTTTGACAACCATTTGATTTTATAATGGACATCTCTATTTTATTCATGTGATGAAGATGATCTGAATCTGAGAGAGTGTAAAATTGAAAAAAAATCTAAATGTACAAAAATTTAACTTGGGTTGGATGGACTCAAGTCCAGTCTAAAAAAAAATTAACACTAAGATAATAAAATTTCAAATTTGATTAAGATTTGGACTAAAATCTGTTGATTCAAATTAAGGGGTGATTTAGAATGATCTAAATAAGTGTACTTTTTGACTTTTTATAAAATATGAGTTGGGTTTAAAGTGATATGGGTTAGGTTTGAAGTGGTATGATATAAAAATGATGTGACTTAAATAAGATGATGTGATTTAAATAAGATAATAATTTTTTGACTTTTTTAAGTTACAACAAAATAAGCCTAAATTTGGTTAGGATCCATGTATTACTCTCACAACCACGGGATATTATATCCCTTAATAATGGTAAGATAAAATGGGTGAGAGAGAGAGAGAGGGGCATTTTTCTTTCGTATGTAAAGGAGGATAAGAAAAGGGAAAAGAGAAAGATTGAGGGGGTGATTTCAACCCATGCCCACATTTTGCATCCATTAAAAGATGAGCAAAAGAGAGGAAGTAAGCTTTCCCATCTCTTTTAAACGAAACATCACATTTTGTCTTTGAAAAGTCAACTTTTTTTTCTTTTCCTTTTTTTTTTGGGGGGATGAAAAATGAGGGTCCAAACACAAAATGAAAATAAAACTTATTATTTTTATATAATTTTATATTTTTTAAGATAAAAATATTTTTAAAAAATTTGAAGTATTATTTTCATAATTATTTTTGATAAATTAATTTCTATTTTGTTAGAAAAATTTTAAAAAACTAATTTTGCGTTGATACACGTGCCACGGCGACTTCTAAGTATGTTTAAGAGTATTTTGAAAAGTTGATAAAAAATTAACTTTTAACTTTTTACCAAACTTTTTAACTTTTTAAAAAATAATTTGAAAAATTAATAAAAAACTGACTTTTAATTTTTTAATTTAATATTTATTTATGATGTCAAATCAAATTAAAATAACCAAAATACCCTTACTCAACATAAAAAATTTATTTTTTTTATTTTTTTGTCATAGGCCCCAATTTGTAATTTCACACTTGCCTTTTTGACACTTCCCAAACCAATTTTGTTACCTTTTTGCCACTTGTATTTTTGGACATTTTGACAAAAACGCGCCCTTGTATTTTGGTTCCCAAAACGGCACCTAATAAAAGGAGAAAAAGAATAAAAGAAATTTTTTTACAGCACTTTATAGCACAACAAACATCAACCCAAAACCATCACCATCACTTCTGTAACAGAATATAAAATGACAAAAAAAAGGAAAGAAAAGAGTTAATTAGGTGTGTACATCTCCAAGAACTCATCTCTCTCACACTTCATGAGCCCAACTTGGAGAGTTTTCACTTTCATCACAAGACCAAACCAACTCTTCTCTGCTGCATAACCGACTTTAGCAGAAGACAATTCATCCAAATCTGCGCTGTCAACAATGCTAGTTGGTGCAGTCAAAACCGTGGCAAACAGATAGCCAGATTACCAGGACCAAAAGTAATAGGATTCCGAGAACAACCACCTTAATTTTCATATTTTGGTACCACATCTTCCTTCGGATCTGTGTCCCTTTTTTCTTGAATTCTTGGGCCTGAAAATAGCAATAATATATAGAGGTGTTCATTATCCGTTCTAAAATGAAGAAGAAGAAAAAAAATAGAGATTATTGCTAAAAGGTAGACATGGATAAACCTACCGAATCACGAAGATCTTGTGCTTTGTCTGAGAGAACAGTTAGGTTTTCCCCTCGGTCAATAGCCTGAAAAATGTATATTGGGTAAATTAAACAAGATTAAATTCATTTTGCTTGTTTTTATTGCTTGTAGTGATCCAAACATGGTGCAAAGGTGCTTTCAATGACACGCACACTTCAATCAGACAGCGACAACAACAGTGAACTAGGAAGCGCATGATGCATTGGATGCATGAAAGGGTGTAATAATTTTCAACTAAGGTGGGGGTCACTTTGCCTTTTTTTCATGTTAGTTTTAAGTCAGCTATATGTTTTTGTAAGAGTTGAATCCATAGATTAGTTTTACCTGCTCTATCTACTACTTGAAAAAATGTCAGCTTTCACACTCAAAGCTCTCAATAGCTCTAGGAAATAATTTAGTTTAATCAAGTAAAAAAACAACCTATACACTCACCTCATATGTCACAAGGTTGTGCCTTTGTCATAAAAAATGTACAAATATACAATTTCATTCTAATGCATCATAAAATTGTATCCTAAATCAGGGGCATTAAACAATCTCTACTTCACATTTTCAAAACATTAAAATGCGTGAGAATCTTGCTGTTAATGTATTTGATCTTCAAGCTGATCAAGTAAATCAGACTACCCAACAAAATTCTGCTTTCCAGTCTCGAGCAGAATTTTCAAGGTGCAGCAGAGGTCAAAGAAAGGAATGTGGTAGATAAACTGAGAAAATAGATGCTGGCACATAATTTCACCCAAATATATATATATATATATATATGTGACCCAACATAATGCAAAGCAGTGTATCAGAATGCATGTAGAAAAGCCCAGATAAATAAAAATAAACTTTAAAAAAAAAAAGGTACACCCAGTTTAGTGCCCATTAGATGAGGGTCTGAGAGAGAGATTGGGTTATGGCATTATTTGCAAAGATGTAGATGTAGAAGATGGGAATGTCAAGAACAATGCTATCAAGAATTTTTATATTAAAAAAAGAACAAGAATGCACATGCATGAAAAAAGTAAACAATATATACATACAGAAGCAATAAGAAATAAATTACTTAAACCCTCATGTTAGATTTCCTTTCAAATGGATTTGTCATACCTTGTCAATATTTTCCAACATAATGCTTTTAACTTCTGAAACTTGGGCCTTCACTTTTAATAGCTTTTCAATCTCCTCAGCATGGTCGATTATGTATTGCATGTGCTCTTTCATAACCGGGCTGTAGATCAAAAGACATTGTCTTAATTCATTTCTTTATAGTACAATCTTATTGCTCAAAGGCATATCAATATTAAACATACCCAAACTCCTTATTGAGACTTTTGGCAACAGCTGTATCAGCCTTGCCACCACCATATCTTTTCTTGAAATCAGCCCTCATACGTTCCAAATATGCAATAGAAATCTGCTTCCCAACAGATTCTTTGGCAACGACACAATAAGCTGCAAATTCCAACAACCGCACTTTAAGTGACATGAAGCAGAAAACTTTGATTGTGATGCATTACAGTATGGGGTGGGTGGGACAGGTAAACAGCAACAAAGAACTATAATTAGAAGCTTGCATTTGTTGGCTCTTTCCACGAAATTAAGTACTTAAAATAATAGAGATATAATTAAAACTACAATGTGTTGTTTTTTCTTTTCTTTCTTTTTGCAATCAAAACATACTAAGACATTGAAATTTGAAAACTATATAGTCAACAAAAGTTATCCTCCAAGATATTTTACAAGTGCAACAATGATTGTTAAAATATTATCCTTCACGATTTGATTCATACAATTTGATACAAGTTTCAACCAAAACAATTCAATTACTATTGAATCTTAAATTGAGAGAATCATATGATTCGATTGAGATTCCTCTGTCGATTATGATGCATTACAGTGTGGGATCATGGAGGGAACAACAACAAAACTATTGTCAAACTACCACTACTTCCACAACCACACAATGTACCACCTCAACTTAACAAGCATTATCTGAGCTCTTTTGAGTTGGCTAGATGAATGCTATTCTGCACTTCCTCTCTAAGGCCCTAAAACCCATAACTTTACTTAAACTACAAATTAACATACCATTTCTTGCTATTCTAATCTGCTTTTATTTTAGTATGTCCCTTATCCTAGTATTTCCCTTAATGCGAAGTAAGTTGGTCCTCCTTGCAAGCATAGATATTTGTCTTTAGTTGCTCAGCACCAAACCATCTTAACTCAGTTTTTTCTCATTTAACTAATTTCTAATCAACTATAATTGGTGCTCTGGTTATCCTAGTATTTCCCTTAACTTGAAGTAAGTTGGTCCTCCTTGCAAAGCACATATATTTGTAAACCATCTTGCTCAGTTTTCTTTCATTTAACTAATTTCTAATCAACTAAAATTGGTGCTACTTCTATGGAAGCTTCGTAAAAATTTATAAAACTTTCATTCATGTCAAACTGGCCTTTGGCCCATTCATTCATTCGTATCAAACTGGCCTTCAGCCCAATCATTCTTTCGGCATAGCAAACATTTGTCCACAATTCAATTTAACAGACTTATAGGGAGGTGAGCAATTGGACAAATAGCATATTTCAGATATCTTTATTAAGATATTACTCACAGTGATCGGCTGGATGATTTGCCCTGGAGCTCGACCCTACACATTCCATGAACACAATGGGTCACAAACAATTCAATTAGTTCTAAATTCACATATTCCTCTTTGGGCTTCATTCTAATTCTTTTAACTCATTTACAATGCTTAATGCATGCCTAAGAGTACTTAGAAGTGAAAGAGAACGGAAAATGGAACACATAACACATTTACAAAATTTCAGAAACAGGGGTCCCCGCTCGAGCGGACCCATTAGGTCTGCAAAAGTTCTGGTTACCTCGCTTTTATGCTCGAGTGTGAACTCGGACGCTCGAGCTGAAGGTCATTCCACATAGCTCCCCGCTCGAGCATGAACTTCCCCGCTCGAGCGGACATCCATGACTATAAAAAAAATACTGGGAGCCCGTAGTTTACGCTCGAGCGGCGGTTCCCCCGCTCGAGCGGACGTCAAGAATTCTGGGTTTTCCAGAACTTGTTCTTGAGCTCAAATTTGACCTTCAAAGGTCCAAAACCCACAATTCTGGTTTCAAAACATGCAAATACAATATGTAGCACAAGGATGTAAATAACATGAAGCCAATCATTCAAAATCATGGTCCAATTCTTCAAAATTAATCATGGCCCATGCATTCAACTCTCATATAAGCTCCATATCATTAATAATCAAACATGCATGTCAATTTTGATTTCATTTCCATTTCAAGTGATGCAATTGGTGTTCATTCTCATGAAACTCAATAAAAACATGCTTACATGTATGATCCAACTCTCAATCTTTCATAATTCACATATTACATGCAATTTTATGTAATCTCATAGGAATTCTCTACATGCATGCACAGATGGACTTCAAACTCATCAAATACAACACAATTCTTGTTCTTGCTCACCAATCAACTTTGAATTCACAAGGTTACAATATTAAACTCATGAATTCCTAACCAATTACTCACCTAGAAGCTCAATCTTCCCAATTTATGATCAAATCTTGAGTGTGCCTTCAAGATCACCAAATTCCCTAGCCAAATCTCTACCTTGAGCCTCCCTTCTCACTCAATTCGGCTCCTCCCTCTCTCTAGAGCACAATTTCAGATGTTGAATTCAAAAGAAACAAAAACGAAGGTGTATAATGGTCCTTTAAAAAGCTCCCTCTCAATACATTTCTTTAATATTAAATAATTGAGCACTAACCCATTAATCTAATCTAATTAATTTGATCCGAATCAATTTTCAATCAAATTTCACCGTAGGCTCTAAAATTACGTCAATCACAATGGCGCAGTCAATTTCGGGTTTTGTGGTCGATAAGGCCTTCAATTTAATTTCCAAAGCAGAAAGTCAAACAAATTTTTCTACGGTGAATAGATAGAAATTCAAAACCACATATATTCATACAAATAGCACACCAAATCATATCAAACACATGATCACAATCACAATTAAGACTAATTAGCATAATACGAAACAGGGTTATCACAGTCTCCCCCCCCCCTTTAGGAAGTTTGGCCCTCCAAACTTTTTTTACCTTCGTCGAGGAACAAATGTGGGTAGCGTAGCCACATTTCATTCTCTTTTTCCCATGTGGCATCCGTCCCATAGTGTTCTTTCCATTCCACTTTTACCATTGGGATGGACTTGCTTCTCAATTGTTTCACTTGCCGGTCAACAATTCGTTTCGGCCATTCGACGTACTCCATATTTTCATCAAGAGCTACCCGGTGATAATCAATCACATGAAACGGGTTCCGAAGATAACCCCTTAACATCGACACATGAAACACATTATGGATTTGCTCAAATCTCGGCGGCAAAGCAACTCTATAAGCAGCTGGACCAAGCCTTTCCAGAATCTGAAACGGCCCAATGTAACGGGGCGACAGTTTGCCCTTCTTCCCAAACCTAACTTGGCCTTTCATTGGAGACACTCGAAAAAACACATGGTAACTGACCTCGTACTCGAGAGGTCTTCTTCGAACATCAGCATAATTCTTTTGTCGGTCCTGAGCTGTTTTGAGCCTTTGTTGAATAATTTTGATCTTCTCAGAAGTGTCTTGCATAATTTCGGGCCCAAGCAAAGCTCTATCCCCGACTTCTGTCCAACAAATTGGTGATGTACACATTCTACCATACAAAGCCTCGTATGGTACCATGCCGATGCTGGTGTGGAAGCTATTATTGTATGCAAACTCTGTAAGTGGCAAATAATCTTCCCAACTCCCCTGAAAATCCAAGGCGCACATCCTTAGCATATCTTCTAACGTCTGTATGGTCCGTTCTGATTACCCATCTGTCTGCGGATGGAATGCAGTACTAAATCTCAGTTCTATTCCCATGGCTTCCTATAAACTCTTCCACAGTCTAGATACAAATTTCGGATCTCTATCCGGCACAATAGCTACCGGAACTCCGTGTAAACGGACAATCTCATCAACATATATTGTAGCCAGTCTATAAGCATTAAATGTAGATCTAACTGGTAGAAAATGTGTAGACTTAGTCAACCTATCAACTACAACCCAAATAGAATCCATACCTCAAGGTGTCCGAGGTAGGCCAACAACAAAATCCATAGTCACATGTTCCCACTTCCATTCAGGAATAAGGAGAGGTTGAAGTAGAATGCCAGGTTTCTGATGTTCAGCTTTAACTTGCTGACACTGAAGACATTTGGACAAGTATTCTACAATTTCCTTCTTCATTTTAGGCCACCAGTAGCTTTGTTCCAGATCCCGATACATTTTATTGTTACCCGGATGCATAGCAAACACTGATTTTATTGCTTGTAGCTTTGTTTTGTTTTTTGTTATTCCTACTATTTTTCCATTGTTTTGGGCTGTCAAAAGTTTGTGTTTTTTAGGCTGAAGCTTGGGTTTAAGGCCATTAAAGGTTGAGGGGTTGATAGCCCTTCTTTATACCTTGTTTTGGAGGCCTTCACCCTTGTGTTTCCCACCCTTTTACTATCTTTTTCCCAGCTTTTAAAAACTGATTTTTAGAGTTCTTTCAATGGCTAAAATCATGTTTTGAAGTCCAAATTTGGAGGGTTTAACCTCCCCTCCTTGTGTCTTGCTTACTAGCCTAGTTGGTGCCATGTTTTAGCATGTTAATCTAGCTATTTTTAGTTTAATTCCAACATGTTTTTGGACTTCTTTTAGACAGTTTTAGCACTGTTTTGGGCTGTTGTTTGCATTTGAGCTTGGTTTTGCATGCTTCTAGTGTAATAGTCATCATAAGCTTGTTGTTTTAGGTCTTAGACATCACTTATTTGAGTTGATAACACTTATTTTGGGCTTTTCATGCTTCATTTCAGCACTAATAATTTCTGCAACCTCCCTCCATTCTTGGCTTTTTATTTTGCTTTGAAAGTGGTTTCAAGTCACTTGCTTGCCCAAGTATGAAATTGAGGTTTCATACTTAATGATTTAATCTTTTAAGGGTTTCATTGCCAATGGTATGATACTTCTTTCATACCCAAAACGAATTTTCCTTTTAGCCCTCTTTCCATTAGAGGACTTTAATTCGCCATTGGACATAATTGAATTAAAGAATGGTTGGCAAACTAAAATGGAGTAACTTGGAATTAAAAGTGAGCAAGATAATAATTTGGTTGTGTTCAATCGGATGTTAATTGAACACGTGGAACTTGGACCATTTCATACTTGCTAGTGATGAAATGATTCAAGTCTCCACAGTCATCACTTCCCTTGATCTTTCATGATAGGGAGGTGATTTTTGATAGTCATTTTGTTGCATTTATTGAGCTTACATACTTGGTTTCACAAGCCATCATGCAATGAAATTGTATCCATTGATGGTTTGTGAACCGAACTTGCTACTCTTTTGATTTGTTCATGAAAAGGAGAGGTGAGTTGTGCAAACAAACCCTTAAAATACCCTG